GCCTTGCAATTCCTGACAATGCTTGCCTACCAAAATCTCCCCCAGAGGGGGACTGATCTGAAGGCTGTTCTTAGAGATTGCTTATCTCATTACTGCCATCCAGATAGGGTGAGTGATCAGAACTGTATAAAATTCAAGGAGAAGGCGGCTGTATCTAGTCCAGGGAAATTTTTTCTCACCATCATGGCTGGTCTCAGCATCCCCTCTGTGCCAGGGCTTGTGATTCCAGCCTGGGCACCTATATTGCTTTTCTAGGCCCAATTTTAGAAGGAGGCACATGAAGATCATGGTGGAGCAAATGCATTGGTCTCAGGTCTGTGGAGGAACTGTGAATGTGGCTGCTCTCACAGAATCACAGAATCGTTTAGGTTGGAAGGGACCTCTGGAGATCATCTTCTCAAGCCCAGGATCACATCCAGACGGGTTCTGAATATCTCCAGGGAAGGAGACTCCACTACCTCTCTGGGCAACCTGTTCCCCAATGCTCTGTCACCCTCACAGTGAAGAAGTTTTTTCTCAGGTTTAGGTGGAACTTCCTGTGGTTCAGTTTCTGCCCGTTGCCTCTTGTCCTGTGGCTGGGCACCACGGAGAAGAGTCTGGCCTCATCCTCCTGACACTCCCCCTTCAGATACTTGTACACGTTTATGAGATCCCCTCTCAATCTTCTCTTCTCCAGGCTGAACAGGCCCAGCTCTTGCAGTCTTTCTTCATAGGAGAGGTGCTCCAGCCCTCTAATCATCTTGGTAGCCCTCATTGCTTGCTTGGAGAGAGCTCAGTGTTTGGGTTAGCAGGCAGCCACAGAGATGAGGCTCTTCATCTCTCCTCTTGCCCTTTGGCAAGGCACCTGCCCTTGCTCAGGCACTGAATGTGAGTAGAGCACCACATCCTGCTTCTGTGACTTCCCCTAGCCATGCATGTCCCACAGCCAGGTGACACAGAGACCCTGCATGGCACTTAGCAGCCACTTCAGGCTCACAGGAAAGGTGCTGGGTGCAAGCCTGGTTCCATCCTCAGTTTCTGCAGGCATCTTGCAGATGGGCTTCAACTGTGACATGCTATACAGGAGCATTGGGGCTAGTGCAAATGAGGCAGTTAGTGACAAGGTTAGCATCCTGCGGTGTTCTGTACATGCCAGCAGCGCTTGTGTCTTGACCTACTGCCTGTCCAGATGGAGAAATGGAACGTGGCATGGAATAGACTCATGGCAAATACCTTTGGGATGCTCCTCCTATGCTTGAAGGCTTAAGCCAGTAGTTTGGGGGGCACCTGGCGGAGCAGGAGCAGGAGAAGGCAGCCCCTATAGAGTTTTTCAGTTTTCTTCCAGAGCCCCCACACTGTGCCCTCAAGCAGTGACTGGTGAGCCAATGCCAGAGGAGAGAGGAGGAGAAGGGAGAAGGCTGGTCTGCTCCTGGGGAGGGATCCTCTGCTCTGACCAAAGATTGCCATAAATCCCTGGTCCTAGAGACTGTCTCCCTACAAGTTATGGGTTGCATTGGCCCTCTTGGAGAATTGAGTTTTGTTTGCATGCTCCTGCTTGCCCCATTTCTGTTCAGCTTCTGCTCACCTCCCTCAGAATTTTTGGCTGATATCTAAAGGGATGTGTTTTCCTAGCATCTTTCTTCAGGGTGGGGTGGCAAGGAGATGGGATAGAGAGAATGTCCTGACAACCTGCCATTAGATTGGGAGGGCAAGCTCCTTCTCTGAAGGGCTGCTTTCAGTCCTTGCCTGGGAGACAGCTTAGCTGCTAAGTGCTTTGTGGGTGGGAGTGGAGATTGTTTCTGGGACTGACTTTGGGTCAGGGAACATAGGTAATGGAGTGTAGATAACCTGCTATGAGACTGGTAGGGCACAGGCTGGTCTGCACAGTGTGCTTCCGTCAAAAGCCTAAGCACAGGACAAACATCCTTTTTTCTGAGGGTTGTAAGGAAGCGGGGAGAGGAGAACCTCTTTTAACCTCTTTTCCTGAAGGCATGGCAAAGTGGTTGCAGCTGCCTTTCCCAATGCAGGTAGTTCAAGCCTCAACTTGTAAGGTGCAATCACAGACACATGGAAAAGGTGTGTGGAAAAGTCAGAGGCACCTAGAGGGCCAGGGGAGATGCAGAGCAGCCAGCTAGGCTTGCTCAGAAGGATGGGGGCCCGGTGCCTGCTGCCAATGGGCAAGGCAGGTGAGCCTCAGGGGCCCTGAAGGCATTCGCATCCCCTCTCCCAATTAGGTATGTGGAGTCTGTTGCTTTTTGGTTTTGCTTCGTTTCAGTTGTGGCATGTCAAAAAATGCACAGTAATAAATTGCTCTTTTTAAATTCTTAACTCAAAGGTCTGTAGGTTTGGCATGTGAGCAGCTGAGCCATCAACATGATTTCTTGGGCTTTCAAGTGCTGCTAATTGAGCCACATAAACTGAATCTAAGCTGGGCTGGTGCTGATCTCGAGCAAACGCCAAAGAAGCCCCAAAGCTATGTTATCTGAAATGACCCCCTTCGCAGAGGCATATGCTCTCCCTGCATACAGGCTCTGAAATCCATGGCTCTTGAATGGAATTGCTCCTTGCGTGAACGTGCTTGTGAAAGAAGCTAGCAAAGATTGTTCTGTCTCATCTTTGTTCCTGCTTCAGGCAATGCAGTGGGAATTAGCCAGGAGGCAGTTGGAGAGGGTGAGGAACTATTGCTTTCTACTTGGTCCTGAAGGGCTTGCAGTCCCGCCTGTTTGCAGCTGAACAAACTGTTTGGTGGGTGGACACTTTCATGTTGTGCCATTATAATTATCAAACTCTGTCACCCAATGACAGATTAAGGCCTTTTTTGTTTTATATACTCTAGACATGAAGTTAAAAGGTCTGGCCATCTCCTGAAGCACTTACAATTTAAACCATAGGGAAAAATAAAATGTGAAAGGAATAGGTGAGAACACAGGAATCAAGCAATAACACGAGGTGAGTGAAGGAGCAGAGTGCATGGTTGATGCATGTTTTTAACAGTAATGATGGGAGTGAACTTTCCAGTAATCCTGTAGTGCTTAGGTGTGTAGCCAACCCTTAGGAAATTCATCTGGATTTCTCTTTTCTTGCAAAAGAAACCAGCCCTTTATGAAACCAGCACTGTGGCAGAGATTTTTGTCACAACAGCTGTCCCTGCACAGAGAGACATATAATTAACCTCCATTTGATCTCCCTTGAAAAACCACACCTGTCAGATTTGTAGCTGTAATATAATTTGGTTGATGCCATATATGCTTAAAAATAAGCATTAAGACTTCATTCTCTGGGATCAGGAAGTATAAAGAAGTGCTAAAAAGGAAAGGACTGAGAGGTACAGAAACTTGAAGATCTTTTTTTCTTCTTAGGGAGGTACCAGCAGAGCAAGATAAACTGGATTTATCCTCTATGTATACAGAAGCTTTTCAGACGCAAGGTAGTCTTCTAAATCAGAAGTGAAATGCTAACAATAAGTGTGGCGCTCATATCTTTTGCTGTGTCTCTGCTGTTCATGCAGTTTCTGAAACTGCAATGGCTACGAAGACGATATCCTCCTGGACCAACTCCGTATCCCTTCTTTGGCAATCTGCTGCAGATGAACTTCCAAATTCATCATGACATCCTTAAAAAAGTATGTATTTTCAGGCAGATAATTAATGGACTCATAAGCTGATTGAAGAATGATTATATATTTGATAACATGGTCTTCTTTTGAATGTTAAGGAAGGATTTATTCTAGATTGTGTAAGCATGGAAATTGATGGGGATCATTAAATAGTCTGTTTCTTGATACGAAATACACCAACTTTTTCTGAAACGTGTCACTGAAACCGTAGGTGCACGTGAATAAAATAATACTGATGCTAGTACTTCTATCTTATGAATAGGAAAAAGATACATTTTAAAAGACAAACTTTCAGATTGTAGAGAATTTCAAATGTTTGCCTTTTGACTACTGTCACATTGGCAGCTTCTAGATTTCCCAAGAAATAGTGATGAGTGCATGTGAGTGTTCAGTAGAGAAACAATGAGTTTGTTAGGCTTACTGAACAGATTTTCAAAAGATGTTTAAATAAATTTTTGATTACATATGATTTGGTTAGATTTTTAAAAGACACCTCAATCAGCTGAGCTTGACTGAGCTTTTAAGTACCTGAACTAATTCATTATGTGCCTGCACTGGAACTGAACTCTTTTCTATGTCCAGTTGTAATGCAGAGCACTTCTAGAAATTTTATCCTAATGTTTTATATTCCTAAAGTGTATAGTAGGGGTTTAACATTTAAATATGAGTAATAGTACCTCACTTTGCCTCCTCATTCTCAGCCTGCTTTTTCCTCTGGTTCTTCCCTGTCCTGCCAGCTCTCTTCTCCTGACTTGCATACTGCAAGGTGAAGTAGTATAACTCACAACGCAAAATTATACGCAGTGCATGTTGCCTTTTCTTTTCTTTTTGATCTCACAAACCTCAAGAGCAGGATTGCTCATTCCAAGATTTCAAAAGCCATGAATTAGTGCCTCCAAAAGTGAAATTCAACCTTAGATTGATACAAAATCTGCAAGCCTATGACATAAATCCTTGCTTGACATTTGTATCTGATCCCTCTTGTTTGCTCACAGACGGCAAAATTTTGTACTTCTCTAGTGTTGCAGTTCTTAGGACGTCATGGCAGCTCCCCACTCTTCTCTTTTTCCAACAGCCCGCTCTGCCCCGCAGACTTGCTACTTCGACCTGCGCTCCTGCAATTCCCTCAGCCTTGTATTCTCTTGCTTTTGTTATTCCAGCTCCTGATTCTCTGGCCAGGGACAGGGCTGTTCTGTCCACCTGCCTTAGCGATGGCTGTGCGCACTGTGTAATGGCTATCATAGCTGAGCTAGAAAGGAGAGGGGGAATCCTACTTTACCCACCTATTCAGATGTTTTTCATACACTTACCACACAAAGGGGAACCTGTAGATAGTTCATGTAAAAGTCATGCGCTAACATATCTTCTTACAAAAGTGTAAGATTTCATCTGTAATGAGTATGAATTGTAAGATATGCAATAAATAACATTACAGATGTTGGCAGTATTGGATGTATGACATTTTAGGAACATCATGCCCTTTAATAATCCTACTCTTTTTTAAATAGAAATCTAGCTTCAAGCTATACTATATTTAAGAAATGGATTTGATACTCTCTTTTCAAGGTTAGGTACCCCTGGGGAAACAGCCAAGGGAAAAGAACAGGTTCACCATGTTTAGCTTAACTATGCTGGTTCTCACCCATGTTTTTCTGATGCTGCTCTGTTCTATAGGTGGCCAAAGCTCATGGCAACATTTTCACACTATGGCTTTCAAACATTCCTGTAATTGTCCTGCAAGGGTTTCAGGCAGTGAAGGAGGGTCTGACTGCCCATGCTGAAGAGGTTGCTGGAAGGCCAACCTCAATGGTCTTTGAATTGCTGACTCATGGAAATGGTAATTATTATTTTCCAAAATTATTATTTTCACAGATTCTTTTCTCATGTTCTCCATTCCTGTTTTTAGAAACTGATATAGACCCTCCAAATGTGTAATTTGTAGTGGAAAAAAGGTAAATATTTTGGTGAGTTTTCATGAAACATCACTTTTAGGTGAGTACCGTCTGAACAGTAACAGCAGAACAGAGCTATTGTAAGAGTTTCTATACAGGAGCTAAATGACTAGACTAGAAGAGAGGAGGGGAAAGAGGAATGCTGCAGGACTGCATACAAAAAATCCCCAGAAAAATTGGAATGAAAGAGAAGCTTCTTTGAAGCATTACTGGGTCAAATACTGAGGTGGTGTACTAGTGGATACAGATATGTTGGTGCCGTAGATACATTGGTGATATAATGGGGAGACTGCACCTCAGCACCTGCTGGTAGTTTCTCATAGAACTTTCTTTACTCTACCTCACCTTCCAAAGCAGGAACATCTAAATCTTTCTTAGGTTTGAGTCATTTTTAAATGTCAAACTAGGTGCAAATTGCAACAACATGATAGAAAAACAGAATATGTCTAATATAGTTTAACAAATACATTTGGAAAACAAGCATAACTTCTAGTGAGTATCTAACACTAACTTGAGCTTTTTAACTCCCAAACTTACACGCACTTACACTGGTTTCTGAGGATGACTCCAATTCATATAATTTTGTATGACAGAAAGTAGTGAGGAAAACTGATAAGATTTATTTCTCAAATGGGAGATTATGTGAAGATATAGCCCCTCCTGTATATGTCATTTTGCATTTAATAAATATTAGTGAGTCATATAATTGATTCATTATAATCCTAGGTGTTATGTTCTCTAATGGTCATCTCTGGAGGCAACAGAGGCGCTTTGGAATCTCAATAATGAGGAAAATGGGAGTAGGGAAAAAAGACCATGACTACCGAGTACAAGAGGAGGCCCATCGCCTGGTGGAGTACTTGCAGAAAACAAATGGTATATGCTTTTTAGTAACACTTGTACTTGGCGAGCAAGTCAATCTGTGCAGTGGGTGGAGCAGTGCTCACTGATTTTGCTTAGGAATGGGTCACCTGTAGCTTTTGAAATTATTTACTTGATTACATAAAATGGTTTAAAAGAATACATGTTGAGCTGAGTCTCAAGAGCCTGTTATCTTACGATCTGTGAGAGACGTTTCCTTGCAAAAGTGCTATGTATAAAACCCAACAGTATGAATTTAGAACTGAAACTCCATAGTCGCTCTCTGTTCAGTGTTATCACTTCTTAGCCAGTTCTACATTACTTATGATCACAGAATCAGGGTAACAGCAAAAACTAGCACCCCATATTCCTCTACAGAAAAGAAAAACAAGGCATGAAATATTCAAAGTCTTGGCCAAGGCTGCAAAATCCCATGGCTCTGCTCTGGCAAGAGCAGTGGGAAAAGCTCGCCTCATGAGGTGTGTGGTAACCTCTGTAGTAAGAAGTTGTTTGCTCAGTTTGCACTGCCGAAGAGTGGGGTGAACTTGTAGGTACTCTCAAATATTCTGTTATTCAGGTGGAGGAGATCCCTTTTAAGTTCAATTACTCATTCATACACTGTCTCAGCTCACCTTTTCTCTGTCCTAAGTATTGTCAAACACAAGATCTACTGATGCCAAGGTTTTGTGAAATCTGGGTATTTTTGTCACTACTTTTGCTACTCCTGCTCCTATGAGCAGTCTCCTCTTTTCTAAATGACATTTTGTTTAGGTTTCTGAAGTTACGTTTTACTTGAGTTTTTTGCTGGTAAGTTGCAATTTTCCATGCAGCAATCTAATTAGCATCAGAAGTGTTTGATGAAATGTTATCTTATCTTTCTAATCAGTAGGG